TGTTAAGCGCCCCGTAAAATGGATAAACAATGATATTGTTTATATTCACCGATATATTATTGGCATATTTTGTTCAACAATGTTGCGTTGCTATATCAACATGATGAGCACAAATCTAATAGTTGTTTTAAAGAGATTATTTTAGCCTTTTTTCATAACAAATACAGTCAAGTAACCTAATTTCGTGGAAACCTATTATTTGTGGATTTTCGGAACGATTAATAATTTGCGTGAGCGACCTTGCGCGACCTCCGCATTAGTTTGTTTTAATAAACATTGGTTTTCTGTACAATGTCAGCTAGTAGAATGAATCCAGTAATTTCAAGCAAGGTAAACTGTATTAATGTATACTTTGACAAATACAAAATGGCGGATTTCACTTATTACCAAACGTCACCATTTTTTATCGGCCGAATTTCCTTATAATCCCGAGCGGTAATCGGAATTCCAAGTGTCGTCTGCTAGAATATAATCCAACGAATGAAGTCACGCGATCAACTAGCGGATTCCGTGTCAGCAGAAAATTTCTATGGAACACAAAGTGGACCATATTCTTATGTTGTTTCAGTGACTTTTAGCAATAAATCACGCTACGTATCATATTTTGTCAGTCACTATTTTTTTTTAAATCGTGGTACTTTGAAGGAATTGTCACTGGTAATAATGAATTGATATTAAAGATAAATACTAAGAGAAGTTAATTATACCACCCGGTATCCATACAACGTATTTTTCTAGACTTATTTATAGATCAAACATTGTACACGAAAATAGGTGACGCATTCTGCCGCAGTTCGGTGTTGAATTCTTATATCCACGAAAATAGGTTACACCACTGTACATATCTTATATTATCTACGCAACTTTTGACTTGTTTAACTTTAACACTATACCACCGACTACCGAATATCTAATTATATGTTTGTAGTTCAAATAACGTATTTTCGTGTGATCGACAGATGAAACAGGTCAGGATTTTGAAAACAAAAAATAACAAATATTTCAATGTCTGTAGACCCTAACTTAACTGGCTACATCAAAAATAAAAGCTATTAATAAACAGAACTGGCAGAGTTATCACGGTGAAAACCTGGAATTTGGAACACAACAACTTCAGATGGGTGTGGACCTTCAGTCCAAATTTCAGCTTGATATCTCTGATAGTCTTCGAGGGGCAGCCTGTCAAAGTTTTGGTCTTATCCCCAACCAGTGCAACAGGACTGTATAGGCCGACTGTCGGACCCCACCCCCGCAGTAAAATGGCCATAACTTCGCCAATTTTGACCCGAGAGGTATAATTTTTGTTGCAAACGACAGTTTAACATGTGCCCTATCTATTTCAGTCGAAAACAGAAATTCGTATTTCGGAAAAACTTTCTAGAAAATCGACTTTGAAGTTCGACCCTGGTTTTCGAAAATGAAATGAAATGAATGGAGTTTTACGTCCTACTTTTCTGCACCATGTGGGCTAATGAAGACGGCCTGGTTTTCGAGAGGAAAACTGCTCATATTTTGCTTTGGGGAAAAAGTCCGAGACTAAAAGTGCTGTAACTGGCAGAGTTATCACGGTGAGAACCTGATATTTGAAACACAACTTTAGATGGATGTGGAACTTAGTCCAAATTTCAGCTTGATATCTCTGTCAAAGTTTTGGTCTTAGGATGACTATAAATCAGGGCATAAATGTCAGTGAGTCAACTTTCCATGAGTAGACCAAAAGGTAGAAAATCAATTTGGTGGAATAAGATACAGAAATGAAATCTTTTTTATAATGAAAGCAATTAGACATAATTGTAATCAAAGGAGAATTATTTTGTCTCTCATATTGGGCTTTCAAGCGTCGGAGAATGACCATAGAGAGGAGTACAAAAAAATATATCTACTTATCAGGTAGCATCAGAACCTGCATTTCACATGTAGAAAGTTATAATGTGATCATATAACAGGTTTTCTTCAATAGTTAAATCATGTCACTAAAATGCAAGACCAATAGTAACCCACTGAACCTTGTGTTAAGAGATTATTACTGGATTTGACTCAAATTAGCAACATCAAAGAGTTAAGCAAAAAACTAAAAGGATTAACTAATCATGGATTAATCTTCAAATTAACTGTACAACAATTGGAGGCCGCATTTCTCAAAAAATCTTGCATTCTATATTTGTACATAGACAAAATATATACCGTTACTGTTTGTGACAAATATCTATCATAAACCAAAAGATACAATAGAAATGAATACAAAAACCAAAATCAGTGTTTAAAATTTATTAATGGCCACATTTTAAAATTTTTGCAAGTTAGCTGTCATTTCTACCTAAAATTGTCTTTGGAACAAATCTTTTTTCTTTCAAACTGTCAACTTCAGTACAGTCTTTATTTGAGACATCTTTTAATATTCTTTCATCTCTTTCTTCTTGTATACTTTTTACTTTCCATGGTGTATTCTTATCTTTACGTATAACACTTTCAAAATTATAGCCAACAAAACCTACAACTGCAGCAACTGGCCAGGCTATATACACAGCATATGACCTGGCAAAGGCCATAATAATGGGCCACATTGTGTTAATTTATAAACAATCTAATAAACTCTTAAACAAAAACTTCTCACAAATAACAAAATTACCAATTTCGTCTTGATAAATAGATCAATCTGCAATGTAAAAATAAATAGTTTTATTTGCAGAAACAATTAAGATCCTGAGTATATCATTTATAAGCTTAATATGTTGTTAATTCCAAATTAACATGTAGTTTTTGTCTATATCTATATTCCTCCAAACAAAATAGTCAGATGAATAAGATTTAACTAACTTAACAAAAAGCTAAAGTAACAACCTATCACAATGTCAAGCTAATACAATATAATATACCTTGACTGCAATAGCCACCTTTGTTACATCACTGAATGCAGCAATTTGATTGGATTGTACAAAAGTGATTACAGCCAATCAGAGCAGTTGACAGTAAAGCTAAAAACAGCTTGAGAGTACAATCCAATCAAAACGCTGCACTCAGTGATACAAGAAAGGTGGCTATATATAGGTATAATATGAAGTACGTAATAGCTTGACATCTTGAAGATCATTATCTACTACTGTCCTCTCACTTTACTTTGAAATATAAAGGTATATATGATTAATAGAAACACACACATCCTTTCAGAAACTTACGACAGTTTTCTGATATTTGATTGATAAGTTACATTTTGATGCCATGATGGACTTGAATGGATCTAAGCTATCCAAAGAGTTGATTGCTTGTATGCCAGGGGCATGTAGTCATTTCCCCTATTTTCAGTTTATAAATATAACAATGCTCATTAAGCCAAAAATTGTCAATGGAAGGATTCCAATGGCTTACCCAGCCAAAGTTAAATTTTATTTAGATTTAGTATCAGTATCAGTGGAATACTTCATTTACCCTCTCTATGAATGTAGTTCCTTATTCTTACATCATTACTTTATTAGTAAATATCAAAAAGCCTTGAATCAGAGAGATGTCTAATCTACTCTAAATGGCTTAAACTGAGTGATATGCTAACCTGAAAATGATTATTTTACGGTCAAAGTTAGGCTACTACTAGAGGGTTGTTATTGGTGGGTTCCTTTCGAGTGATTTTGTAGGTCTTGAACAGAACCTGTTTCTTCTCTTCTGGTGTCCTAGATCTTTCTTTATACACAGTTACACCTGCTATTACAACTGATGCAAATGTGAGCACACCAGAAACCATTACAACAGGGATTTCAGTCCATCCCTTTCTCCAGAGCGCAACACTTCTTAAAACCTTGTCGGTCATTCTTAAGCCTCGTATATCACAACTAGTGTTACTCGGTCATACATTTCAAGACTGGATGATCGAAACAGATAAGAACGTAACCACCGAATGTAACCATTTACACGGTGGTTGGTAGTCCGAAACCAAAAGATTTTTTCTCCACTTTCACTACTTTCCAAAGTAGTAAATACGGGAAAATTTCAATATCGAACGGAAATTCACTACATCGACCCCGTGAACACCGAAGTCACGAGAGGTATCGAACAAGGTGTTATTCCAAGAATATATGTATAGTCAGAAACTACGCGTACGTTATAATACTGATCATATATACCAATAATGTGGAACCTCGAAAAGATATGCCAAGTGGCATTTTAATGCGATTCATCGTCAACTGAACAGAAATGAACAAATTTAAAATGCTGCAAACGCAAATATTTCAGGAATTGCCAAACATTTTAGTATTGATATTTTTTTTTATGATTTTCCTTCTTTTTTTTTCAAATACTCTGGAATAGTTTAAGGGACAGTACTTCATTGTTGTTGACCAATCATTCTTTAGTCTCAGAGACAGGAATATTTTATCTAAGCCAATCAGTTACAATGTTCAAAGCTCACGGTCGCAATTTAAACTCTTAAATCCATGCTATCCAGAATTATTCGCGATTGAATGTAAAAATGACGACTCGTTAATTTAAGATACACTGTGATATAGGAAAGACGTAGGAAAAGTCTGTAAAATCCCAAGTTTGAAGTATTTTAAAAGGAATTATGCGATTTTCATCCATTTCTAGTAGACAAATTACGTGATATATTAGATTAAAATCAACCCCCCAATATGGCGCACCTGTCCCTTTTAATGTTTGTGTCACGTTTTGGACATTTTGTCTTGGTTCTACACGGAGCAACTCTCTCTTCAGAAAAATATTCCTGTGATCATCAGTCGGTCAAAGAACTATATTATATGCTCACACCAGGGACCAGGGAAATTTCAAATCAAGGGCAATAACCAAAACACCAAACTAATTGGAGATCACATCAATAAGCAAACAACACAATCAAAACTATGGTTTTATCCTGTTTGCAATTAAACCTTCATTTTTTTCAGCTATGACAAGGGCAATAACTCAAAATCTCTTTATCGATAAAAAAACAAGACAGAGGATTGATGAATGATTTATTACTTGGTGATAAAAATTAATGAATAAGTAACATCATATTAGTATTAATATATTAAACTCCTTAGAGGTAGGTGAACAGAAACAATTTAGTTTTGAAGTTTTAACAAATCACATCATAGGAAACAATTCCGAAAAAAATTCAGATTTTTGTCATGTATATTTCTATGTCAAATTTATTTTTTAAATAGTTTGAAATCACAATTTTGATTTTCTTAAATGAAAGTGGTAATTATTTATATCACAGAAAATGCTGAAATACTAGAAGGCTTAGTTTCTATTATAATCAATCATCACTGACATTGTCTTTTTTCTCTAGTTCAATGACCACTAATTCATTTTCTGGATAAGCAAGAAACAAAAAGATCACAATCAACCAGGCACAAAGGTGAATAACAGCAAATGATATATTTAGTAATGTTGAAAACATGGACATTCCAACTGAGTGTTTTAGAGCCAATAACTGTACTATATAACCAGTAGTTCCTGTTACAAGATTTAACAAACTAACTACCAAGGCACCTGCAAAAAATGTAATGTAAAACTTATTTCTGGTGAGATCACAATTCATCCTCTTGTTAAAATACAGAAAACATTTTGTTTATTTTATTTTCGAAGGGTTACATCACTCATCTATAATCTTACAACACCCTTCTTTAAATCAACTTTTGATACATTAACATGTATTTAGATCAAGCAGTTGCCATACAAGATGCATTCAGTACAGTATATAAACTGTCAAAATATTTGTCAAATCGACCTTAAATTCGAACATGTCCAAGTTAGAAAAACAGAATATATGGTTTAACTTGTACAAGTATCCAACTGATATAAAATGGTGAAATTGATAGATTAAATACATCTTTAGCTTCAAAATGATGCTATAATACCTGATGCAGCATAATGTAGAAGTAAATTACCATTACCAAGATGTGTCATCATCACTGCTACACTACAACTTAAATATGCATTTCTACACCATGACAGATAACCTGTAATGGCAAGGAGATATTATTGTCTTAATATTTGCTTTTTGTGATAATTTCATTGTAAAGATTACGATAATTGCTTATGTTGACAAATCAATAATTATCTGAGCTTTTACAGTGCAGAGTGGGCGTATATAAAATGTTTATGCCATTCAGACTGAAGTTTTAATTCAAAATCATAAAAATCTCACCATTCTCATTGGCTAAACGTACTCCCTGAAATAAAAAGATTAAAGATTAAAAATGCTGCAAATGGTCTGAATAAATAAATAAAAGTCAAAAATAGAAATAGCAGACAATTAAGTTGGAAAATTAGAGAAATATGTAGATATTATATTACATTCAAATAGCACATGAATGAGGAACAGATTATAAATAATTATATAGTGTACCATTGCTGAATGAGGTTTAATTTTTTGGATGGTTTTTGCTGGTGCAGGCTGATTATCATATTCATCTTCAGGTCTGTGAAAATTCCTGGTACAATTCAAATGCATAGATGAAGAAAACTGAAGAAATCTCTTTTCAGCAAATGCAAATGTAATGCATGGTTTTGTAATTTTGGTATTCATTGCCATTTTTGAACATTTTGCTGCCGATTGAAGATATGTCAAACTATTAAAATGCTGATATGCCATTCTTGGAAATGTGGTGAATCTGGTTAACATTTTGAGATCTATGATTTCAAGTTACACAACATTCATTACCGGTATGGTCTGTTTCTTATATCCTGTAATGAAAGGCATGTAAGTTTAATTAATATGATTAAAGGCTTGTCCTCAACACTGTAATGTTATAAGCTTATACTGGTTTTGTATTTATACAAGACCATCTTTTGACAAAGCTCTTGACACATTGACACTTAAAGCTATCAACAGCCAATCAGAAATGTCAGTTTCCAAGCTGTGATTTTATAGCTAGATTAGTTCATTCCTATTTCTACCTGTGTCCCAAAATGAAAAATTGTTAACATGATCATTTTTTATAAACTACTGGAAATTTCATAGTGCATAGTGATTTCATTTGAGTAAAATCTTTGGAAATAAGCTTATCTTACGTTGAATTATTAATTACTTTTTAAAGACTGTTGTTACTGTTCTAACCTAGCCTATGAAAAAGATAAGATGAATAAATTGCCATCTGCTGGGACAAAGGACAAATTGATTAAGACTAATCTAGCCCAATCCATGACTCTCATCTCGATAGGTCTTAGCTACAATTTGAATTTTGAGGGTAGATCAGCTAGCCTAGTAGCAGTAATGCCTAATGGCAAGGTAATGTTTACAGGCAGTGATTTCAAGTTTCCAAGTTTGTGCGACTGTCCACAAATGGATTAACTCGTTAACTACTTTTTCACCTCTGCTGCCACTCTTTCTTGAGCCTTTACTTTCAATTCACTGATCTATATAAATAAATAGGCCTGGTTGTTTATTTTTTTTAAATAACTGTTTGATTTCGTAACCGCCACCACCAGCGAAATTTATTTAAAGGGACGTAACTCGTCATGCCCTACATCAGTTTTACAACCATCTCGTCTATTCAAAAGGAAATACGCTAAATCTGAGGTACTATGTCTAAAGTAACTTGACACTGAAAATAATACCCATAATCATATTCAGTGTCAATCTAACTACCATACAAAAGTGCAACTGAAAAACTTTTCAGCAGATTTTATGTTTGTAACAGGTCAAGGTCATGATTCGGCAAGTCTGTTTATTACAGACACCGTAAGCTGTCTGCTTTCAATTTCCCAGCATACATTGCGGGCTGATAACACATGATCCACCATATTTGTTTATAAATCATGCTGTTTTGGTTCGACTTTTTTCAATAATTTGGATTCATTAACAATATATTTGAAATCATGATCAACGTACTTTGTTGTTTGTTTCCTATATATTCAGACGGCTAATGCAAATGAATAAATGAAGACATCATTAAAGGTCAAAAAGGATAAAGTTATTGTGTTCGAGAGTCGCTGTTTGTCGCCAGTTCGTGTTGTTTTCGCTAGGAAGTCCAGTAGCAGGCCAAGTATTTACAAAATACCAACAGTACAATTTGTTCTTGACTGCTTTACATAGAATGAGATAAACAAAAGCAGTCTTCTGGTGTTTTGCAGGACTAAGAACATAGTCTACAGTCCCTATTCAAGGTTACCATTTGTTTCAATAATTCAAATCAACACAGAAAATCATCATTTTTATTTATCTTAGACCTATTTAAAGTAAGAAGGTCTAGCCCACAAACATAGTTAAAATTCAAGATGGGAAATAGCAGTTCAGCTAAAAACCGTCATACCTCAGGTGATGATACGGCACCTTCTTTAGTAGCAAGAGCTGGTGGTCAAACAGATCCTTCCATGATGGTTGATGATGGAGAAATCTATAATCCTCGCACATACAAGGTATTTATGGCATATTCTACTTACTGGTATAAGGGTATATAAATTGTGTAGTTCAACCTGCAAACGCAGCCAGTCATTTAAAAAATCAAGTGTTAAAGGGACAGATTAGCCATCCATTTGACCAATCATACCTTAGTCTCAGAGATTGTCAGAAACAGAAATTTTTTAATTATTAAATCAGTAAAAGGAGTGCTCACAGTCGAACTTTGAGCCTTCAAATTTCATGTTTGAAATGATGAGTCTTCTTTTCTTGAGACTCTGAGCTTATCAAAAAGATATTTTAGAAATAGAAAGTGAAATTCTTGGTTTGAAATGAAATGAATGGAGTTTTACATCCTACTTTTCTCTACCTTGTGGGCTAATGAAGACGGGCAACGCCATGCAGGGTGCAATGAGGGAAATTTTACCAGGACAGCGGCATTACCCTGCTCTTTTTCGATTTCCAACTGTCAATGTGCACAGCCTGTAACACACAGGGCCTCGGTTTATTGTCCCATGAACAACTAGATGCTTTTTCCATGTCAGCCCCTCTTACCTGCATCACTGACAGGGGGAGAAACCTGGTTGAAAAATCCGAAGGTATCATCTCGAATATGCCAGGATTGAACCCTGGACCCTCAGGTTAGCGAGCAAACGTCTAACTCACTGAGCCACCACTACTGCTGGGAATAATTATCGAAAAATCGATTATCGCTCTTATGTCATGTAACGATAATCGATGGTTCATTTCAAAATCGATTATCGCAAAAAATAACATAACCTCCGATAATTCTGTTAAATTAATCCCGGGACCATAATAAAAACACGCTTTCGGCAGTCACGTACCGCAAAATAAACTAAGCTTAAGTCTTTATTCTCATATGTTCTTCCATTTCTTTGATTGTATATGATCATAACAATCATTAATAAGAAAAATTTCATTCACAATAAATTAGTACAAACATTTGTTATTATACGTATATATAATTAACTGAATACAGGTACCGATATTTGGGCATGACTTTCCCTTTATTTTTCACACGATTGTAGTTGTCTCCCTTTTTTTATCAAGTCTAATTACGTAACGACAATGCTGATTGGATAATCAGTGCTGTTTATAAATAGAAGGCTAATCAAAATTCGTATAACAACGGTGCTTAGTATTTTAGTCATGGTTGTCAAGAACGTGTGATGAAGTCAATTTTTTTTTACCATTCAACGGTACATTTATGCCGATCGCGATAATGACGAAAACTAATCTTCCAAAGGTCTTTAAAACAAAAAGATTGGCCACATAGCGAAGAACATGATAATAAACACAATACACATACTAGCATCTAACACTAGCATTACATACATGTAAGTGGTAGGCAGCCTAAATAGTACTTGAAATGAGTCGACTACTTGACCTAAAATTTGAGTATCAACATTACGATTTTTATCGATTATCGATCGGAAATGCCTAACGATATATTGCCGATAATCGATGATAATTTTAAATTCGATTCCCAGCACTAGCCACCACGGCTCCCCTTCTTGGTTTGAGGTACTGGTGTTATTATAGGAATTAAGCAAATTTAGTAGGTTACTTTTCTAGTACTTCTGAAGAATATTTACATATTTTCAAGACCCAAATCAACCCCAAAAATGGCGAACCTGTCCCTGCAATGGCAAAGGGAAAAAAATGTCTTCAGTATAATAAGCTTACTCATCAAAACACGAATCAATATGTCCAAGATCAAAAACTGTCAATATGGCTATTTTGGAATATTCATGATGAACAAAAATGTTTCAAACGAATTGTGACAGAAGAGTTTTATTCTTCCCTAGTATCAGGCCTTACCATAAGAATTATTCTGAGTGTCCTTAAAATGTCCAGGATTCGTGATTATCAACCCTAAAAACTGAAGGTGCATAAAATTGTGGTCTGCAAGGTTTATATTCTTATAAAGACAATCCATACTCATGCTATGAAACAGTTTTTTAACTTGGTGGCCCAATTGTGTTGTATGTCACGAATGTTCGCAAGCTAATAAGGTTCTCGCTTACAATGAATTGCGGTAGAAAGTGTTGCATGTTCCAATTTGGCTATTTGATTGGGTTGCAAGGATTCACACTAAATCTCAAGTTTACAAATCTTAGATTATTTACAATCCCTTCAAAGGGCAACAGTTCAGAATTACTTTATAAAAAGACTTTGGAAATAAATATGGAAGTACTCTTATGTATAGGATATGTAGTGTTAAACAAATTTCTTTTCATGTTATTTCTCCACTTACCGGACTAATGTTTCAAAGACTTAGGAATGTAGAACAGCCAAATTAAGTCATCAAGTTTAGTTTAGCTTTTAAATTTTAAAAAGAAAAAAATTTGTAGCCTTAAGTTAGTTCGATAATTTTTAATCTTTTCTTTAATTTATGTGTGACCTTATGAGACAAACAAACCTACAAAAATGATTTGAAGTGTCATGGTTTTTTCTTGATATCTTCTATCAATAAGTGTCATTTTAAGTGCTATATGAATAAAAATACAGTATATATGCAATCAAATGATATACATTTTTGAAATAGTTTTAAACTTGACCGAACCATAGATTTAGATGATATTCATTACAGTTTGGTCTAATCTAAGCTAGGTCTCAAGCGGTGCAAAAAAGGTATTATTATTTTTAGGCCTTAAATTTGGTAAAGTCGGTACTAGTATTTTGATAAGATTAATTCTTGACCACTTTGATTTTTAGAAAATGATAGACTTACTGCAAGAAAATACTGAACTTTACAGACACTAAAGTCAAGGTTTTACTTAATATGGGTTGAAAACCTGTTACATTATGCTGAATAGTGGAATTTGAATCTTCCCGTTAATTTTCATTGGTATTTTTTTGCATTGTTCAACGACAGTTCTGCAGAGCCAGAGTGCAGATGAAATGATCGTATTACCCCTCTAAAAGGATTTATTTCAGAATATTACGGTACTGACTACTGAGAATGTTTTGGGTTTTATGTGCAATGCATCTTATCAGCTTAATCAGTTCGTAATTGATTTGATGTTGATACATTCTTACTTATTCTTACATTCTGCCTTATTTTAAATGTCCATTAAAGACTAAAGCTAGAAGAAATGACATGTCTCTCAGGTTGATAACTTGTTTTCAAGATTAGTATATTTCAAGATCACCTTGGATGGATAATAAAAAGACAATGTAACTTTAAAGTGGCAGTTTTCAAAAAAAAAAAATTATTCTTTTACTATAAAAATTCATATTTCATCAGAAAATGCCTAAAAAATTTCATCTTTTAAACATTTGAGCAACTTATGTGAAATATAATTGATGTACATTGGGAATATCCTGTCATTAAGAAGGTTATGAAAGAAAGTATTGTGTACACATATTTTCATTTAGAACTACTGCTAGGAGTGGTATTGGATTTTCAATAATTTATCATGCAATATCATATAATATTCAAGAACTTTTTAGTGGAAATTTCAGTCTGCTGTGTTGATAACCGAAAAAACAACAGAAAAAAAATTCACAGTTTAAAGTTGCCATTTCAGCTTATCTGTTCCAGAGGGGAATTGGTAACTTTGTGAAAGAGTGTAATGAACATGCATATTGTAATTTGTAAAGAGTCACAATGGAAAATATATTTCAAGTTTGTTGACACATATAGCATTTCGTTGGATAAGTTAAATGGCAAAAATTGGCACATACCAATTCAATTTGCTCGCCATAATTCAAACAAATTAAGTTAAATGGTTGAATAAGTATCTCGAATCATACTTGAAGTTAAACATTAACAACAATTTTGGTTATATCTATATAGAATCTCATTTTACAGGACATTGTAGCTTACTTTACATTTCTTGTCCCTTTAATCTTAAGCCTAACACAAGTGTCTTCTGTTTTGTTTAAACATATTTAACTTTGTAAAAAGTAAATTCTATTTACAACTAAACAAACTTCACTTTCACGCTTTAAGTGCCATTTGTTTTAAGTTTAGATTATAGCCAACTTTCATTTGAAGGATGTTTTAGTAGCTGAAAAATCATAAATTTCATAGGTTTATCATATTTGTTGGGTTTTGTCATAGCCTAGGATTTTTAAATGCATCAGGTAGGCTGGTAACATATTTTGAATTTTATTGTTTGTGTTAAAATAGTTGTATTGAAACCTTGAACCTTTTTGCAAGACAAGTTTCTAAGAACAAGCTTATGAAAAAAATGAATTTAAGCAATTTTGATCCTAAAAAAATCATCATACAAAGAAAAGATTTATTTGAATAATGTTGAGCCTTTGACACAAAAAAAGAAAACTTATTTGTTTTATTTCTTCCTTGAGCTTTATTATTGAAATGTCAACTTTGATTTTAGCATGTATTTGAGGCCCCCACCCCAAAAAATAAGGAAATTGTGAAAACAGGAGACATTATCATTGGATATATTTAAAGGTCACTGATATGATCAAAACATGTTTTTGACCATTAAATTTATTTGTTTTGTCAACATTTGACCTATCTTCTAAGATCTAGTAATGTGATCTGTAGTGTACTAATGTCAACAATGTTATTCAATATTGTACAATCAACTTTATACCAGATTTTAAATATCAAAAATAGATTCATAATGAAAAAATAAAATAACTTCTCAAAATTCTTTACCTGTCTATGTTCGAGTTGCTAAAAATAACTTATAATAAAGATTTTGAATAGAATAGATGTCACCTTTATATGTACCTTACAGTGTCATGTATATATTTCAGTTGAGATAATAAAGGACAGAGAAAAAAATAAAGGACATAAGCCTTTTGCACTGCATAAATGATCAGTGATGATGAAATTCATGTTTGCACAAATGTTTATCTAATGCAAAAATAAGCTTATCTTAGAAATTGTACACATAAATTTTTCTTATCTAATAGTTTGAATGAAGTACCCAAGCCAACCAAAACTTATGAAGTTGGTTTTCCTTTGTGTTAAAATAACAATTACGGACAATATATGAGACAAAATACAGCAGGCTAATTCTGTTGTCCTGCCAAAATGTCCCCCATCGCACAGTGTATTATGTATTCCTCTAACTCAAATATTTCATTTCTTGTGTGTTTCAGAGAGCTCGAGCTAGTACCATCACACCAGGTGCCAGTACTACCACCCCATCATATAGCCATGGTCCTAGATTACTGCCTACTGTATTTAAATGGGAAGGGGGTGGAAAAGAAGTCTATATTGGGGGTAGTTTTAACAATTGGAAAGCAAAAATACCTTTAGTTAAAAGGTGAGTATTGGCATTTTTTTGTCAAAAATTTTTTCAAAGAGTTTTGAGCACATGCACTTTACAGATCTAGAATCCTTTTTTTTCTTTGATGAATTTCCTTCGCAACAAAATTTCTAGATTTGCATTTAAAATAATTAAGGAATGACCTGAACATTTTTTCAGTTGATCGATGTTTAAACAGAAAAAAACTGTGTACACTGTATAAATCCGTGTAGCAGTTTATACATAAGTGTACACAGGTTTTTTCTGTTTATACATCGATAAACTGAAAAAATGTTCAGGTCATTCCTTATAATTAAATCAACTCGAATACATGTTTAAATATTTATCTCAAATAGCAACAAATTAAGGCACAAAATTAGCGCATAAATACCTAACATTTTAACATAACGTTAATGATACTAACAATAGAGACGTCCAAGAGAACAGCCAATCAGCAATAAGTAGGTCACCTATTTATAGTCTACTATCTATTGCATGAAAGTTAACGGAGAGGCCACATTGAAAGTTCAATTTTTGAAAGACGAGTTCGAAAATCTAGAAGTCCAAAAATCATGATTTTGTTGATATTTGGAGAGTGCACATTCGAGGGAATTAGGAAAATACCGTAATCATTCAGTGAAGTTCGTAGATTTCGAAGGAAAGACATCGACGCTGTGTAGTGGCCACATCAATCAAACTCAATGATAAAAGTAGTCCGTTAAGGGGTGGAGCTTATATTTACATTCGGTTTACATAGATATAAACCGAATTCATGTGACGGCTGTTATCCAATCAAATTGCATGGTACTGTGTAAACTGAATCGTGATTTAATTATTTGATATTAAATCGATGTATGCTAGAAAACCTCTTTTGAATCTTTGAAAATGTATTTTATATAGAACTCGGCCAAAGTTGTCAGAATGAACCCCTAGTACTCTTTTTTGAAATTTAGAAGCAGTTTCAATTTATCTTTCTCATAAGATATTCTCTTTAATTGTGATCCCTCTTTGAACAGCTGTTTTGTCTCTCATAAATTTTAATCCTTTAAAAACAATTTAAAACACCTGATGACTGTTATTGATACACATGAAAACCTCTACAGTCATTTAATGAAAGTTTAGAAAAGCTTTTTACAATCCCTTTAAGATCATTACTAACTTTGAGAAAATTTGAATCTGTAGCATTTTTATAAATTATAAAAATAAACTTATTATTCATGGTTTATTTTTTCAGTCAAAATGATTTTTACACAATAGTTGATTTACCAGAAGGTGAACATGAATATAAATTTTATATAGATGGTAATTGGGTTAAAGATCCTAATGAGGTATGTTTGCTTCCATTTAACCCTTCAACAGTTTAGTGCTCTTGTTATCTGCCTCAAAAAGAAACCGTTACAGAATGGCTTAATGAGTTAGATGCTTGCTCACAAACCTGAAGGTCCAGAGCTTACTCCGAGCAATGTTACTTACAAATTTTTCAACCTGGTTTCCCCAAGTCAGTGATACAGGTTTGAAGAGGGGACGTGGACATAGTATGTGGATTGTGTGCCTAAAAATCCTGATATATCACTAAAATTTTCTTGAGTTTACGGCTGAAACTAGGTCTAGGCTATTGTAATCGCTGAAATAATGCAGCTGACAAGTTTTTATGATTGAGTGAAGTCGGATTGATTCTGGCTTGCTCAATATGCATATTTGTCAAATATGTCAGGATTTCAGGATTTCCAGGGTAAAATCTATATGTTATATTAATTATAGCCAACTAAATCAAATAATATTGGAAGTGAGAATAATGTAGTAAAAGTGAGAAATACAGATTTTGAAGTTTTTGAAGCTTTAGCTATTGATAGTAGAAGTACCCATTCAAGTAAAAAAGCTGGTAAGTCATTAATTTCTGTGGACAAAGTTTGATTAAATACAAAATATAATAACTTGGCAAAGAAAAGCTGGAGTTTAATTTTCTCAAAATTTTTAAATTATGCTGTTCAAAAATCTGCGTCAGCCAAATAATCCTAGATAGTGCATTCCATTTAATGCTACTACAATGAACTGGATTTTATTTTATCTTCTTTGTTTCAGCGGAAGCAGCCGATTCATCAGGTTCTCCACCTGGTGAATATTCTCAAGTTATACCTGTCAAACAAACTGGTGTTAAAATATCTGGTCCCCCATTTCTACCACCTCAATTACTACAAATCATTCTCAATAAAGATACACCAGCTCATGTAAGTTTCTCATTTAACTTCAAGGAGAGCCACTGTTTCTCAGTTGGACGCTTGCTCGCTAACCTGAAGGGCCAGGGTTCAATCCAGCATAGGTCAAAATAATACCTTTGGATTTTTTAACCCAGTTTTCCCCTGTCAGAGATAAGAGGGACTGACAAGGAAAAAGCTGAATGAGACATTAAACTGAGGCCTGGTGTGCAACTGGCTCTGCCTGATTCCTCAACAGATGGAAACTGAAAAAGAACAGGCTAATGCTGCTGTCCTGGCAAAATTCCCTCATTGAACCCTGCATTGCGTTGCCCATCTTCATTAACCCACATGTTGCAGAAAAGTAGTATGTAAAACTCCATTCATTTCATTTCATTTAATTATACTTCAGAGGCCTTATTCTCCAAAATAATTTTAGTGTTCCAGTCATCTGATGGGTCAATCTCTAAAATTGATTTTTTAATTTATTCATCCAATGAGATAACTGTATTTCCCAAAATCTGGATTAGTTAAGTCCTCGAGAATATGACCCCTGCTCTATTGAAATTATCAAAGCTTTATTTTGGAATATCTTCACATTATAAAGTGTACGGACAGATCTGTAAAATAGATGTGCTATTACATAAAAGCAAACAATTTAATTCAGTGTCGAGAAAATAATGTGTACACAAACATTCAACTTTTCATTTTTTTTTTAGTTGTGAATTATGAATTTATACATAGGTAAATATTTACTTTAGCTGCCTGTCTACAACTTGATGTGTGACCTGATCTATCAAAAAAGTTTTATAATTGTTACAATGTTGTATTTCAGTGTGAGCCTTCCTTATTACCAGAGCCTAATCATGTCATGTTAAATCATCTTTATGCCTTGTCAATAAAGGTAAGAATCCTGTTTCTTATTTGAAATAATTTCCAAGAATAAATCATCTCAACAAAATGATTATAGCTAGAACTGTGAACAGCTCCGAGAGTGGCAAGAAGACCATATCCCATGGCTTTTGGACCTTCTGAAACTTCCAGCCTGTAAGCTTTAAACCCATATACTTTGCTATCTGACAAATAAATTAAGTATATAATTACACTCCAGAAATGTCATATCAAAATTCTCAATTTGTAAAGAATAATATAGAAAAAGGTTTTTAGAGCAATTTCCAAATTCGCTGCTATCGGGCAATATAAATCGTTCATCTGCCCCCAGCTTTCCATCAACATGTTTGGGAGACACAATTCTGATTTAAAAATCATTATGACTACCAGTATATCAAGGTTTGTGTGTCATATGTAGTATTTATATTGAAATAAAATACTATGAATGCAACACTATATCTTGAACACTTGCTGTATTTTCAATTCTTCAAGCTTGATATTGCTATGTTTAAATTGAATGTTTGTTACTTTCTTACAGGATGGTGTAATGGTTTTAAGTGCTACACACAGATTTAGGAAAAAATATGTGACAACATTACTTTATAAACCTATTTAGCATCTTTATAAACAATTTATATAATAGTGGATTTTAAACTTAGTTCTTATACTAGTTATATGTTATGATATAATGTGCTTTTCACACTGTAATTAATAATCTCAAATTATTGTCCAGTTATTATACTTGCACATCTGGAGAGGTAGTCTAATTAAGATTAGACCAAACTAATTCCATTCCGTTTTTATAGCTACTTTTAAAGACTGGCCTCTTAAACATTTGTCCTAATCTGATGACATTTGCTTTAACCAATCAAATTTTTTCACTCTCTCACAAAATGCAGAAAGCAGAAATTTGATCGATTAAAATGGCTATATTAAAAATAAAAGCTAATAAAAAGAAAAAGAATGAAAGTTTGATCTAATTTTATGTAGACTGCTTTAGAGGATTTTAAACAGTTCACTTTAGTTTCAATTAAACCAGTAATTGAAACTGTATTATTATATTTATTCTGTGTTGATTATGACTTAACCTTCACTAAAGGGATTGAAAACAGGTTTTACTTTTTATGCGCATGAGCCATCAGGGATTAAAAGCATAAATTTGCACCAGTGAAATATTCAATAATAAGCTTACGTCTATTGTTCTTGCAATTCCACTAAAACTACAGTTATATGATGTACCTATCACAAAGCCCAACCTTGAATCGCAAAAACCACAGATGTCTGAATGAAAATTGAAATGGTCAAATAAGTGTTCAAAATGCACCTAAAAAATTTGAGAAACCTGCCTCTAAAATAAAACTGGACGGCTCTTAATGTTTTGAATCGTAGTTTGATGTAATCAGATGCTGAACTTTTAAAGTTCTTTGGTCAATTTTGTTATTTTTGCAAGACTTAAATGGTCAGCATGAAAAAACTGGTTCACTAACTAGATCAATTGCAGATTTAGAAATTTCAGTGTGAATTGCACTAGCTCTGTTTGAAAGAATTAGAGTGAATGATGCAGTATGTTTGAGTTACTGGATAACTGATAAATTGCTTTCTTTTAACTCAAAATTTTCTCTTAGTTTTTAGTCGGATTGACCCAGTTTTTTCTAATAATATATTGAAAGATGTTTTCATATTTGTATGGTATTTACTGATTATGTTATGTGATAGTTTTCCAGCCATCAAATTTCTATAAAAAGTGTTGAATTGCAAATGGTGATAAGTCAAAATGCACCAATTATGTTAGTGTTTTGATGCAGGAGGATGTCCCTGTTTTGACCTGTTTAATTGAAATGGAATGTTATGAAACTGTTTCTCTCTAAGCATGAACATTTTATGTTATTTGCTCTCTTCTGAATTGAACTAAAAACTGTATTAAACTAAACTTTTAATTTACTTATAAACATGAAATTGTTTAAAAAAAAAAAAAATTTATTGAACTGTACTGTTTTATGAATATGAACTCAACAGTTTTTGAAATATAAACTGTTTATTGATCTGGACTGTTGCAGGATATAAATTGCTTATTGAACATAAACTGTTTATTGAACATAAACTGTTTCTTGAATATAAACTGTTTATTGAATATAAACTGTTTATTAAACACAACTGTTTCAGGATATAACTTGTTTATTGATATGAACTGTTTATAGTTTAGGTCGTTAAAGTTTTCTGTTCAAATAGAAATTATCAAATTGGGTGTTCAAAATGCTAATTAATTGAATAGCTCAAATGTAAATATGTGTATTGTTATATATTTATAGAGAACTATAGTGGATACTATTTTTATTTTATTTTAATTAGTTCCCAGACTACAAGTCTTAAAATCAGTTCATGTAATGTATTTTTTTTGAGATATTTATTTCCAAAAGAGTATATCCAATTATACTTTGAATCCAATCTTTGGGTATCATAGAATAAACCTAGGCTTTGCCACAAAAATGTATTCTTGAAAAACTTGATCTGCTTTCAGGTTAACTTATTTTGAATGTCTGAAATTTCCTTAGAAATGCCCAGATATGAAGTTTTCTGGTTTGATGGCTTACATTATATTCATTTATCAGATGTGCATATGCATGATGGCAGTTTTCTGGCATTGTCATATGTGTGTATGAGACAATTCATAGGATAGTCAATCCAAGACGTGAATAGATAATGTCATGAATAAATGAGAAAGTAAACAATTCTTGAAGCAAACAGACAACTTGAAAACAGCTTAGGGCATTTGGCTCACAATATGGCATTTGTTATTTGATATTGATACTATGATTATGAATGTGTGATTTTGATTTTTTTTTCTCACAAACTGAGAATCATATGTAGTGGAAAGTTAGAGATATTATGATTTTCTTGTGTTATTCAGTTGGGTTAAATGTTCTAACTAATAACAATAATAACTGTGTATGTAATAATTCTAAATATGTAAATAGTTGTATAATATTGTTTATAAATACTGTGAATTGTTGATTGTATATTTGTTGACTTGTAGGCTTATTAATATTCATGTCCCCTTTATGTGTCATAATATTTCAGATATAATAATATAACTTGGATCAGTATCACTACGGAATTTGGCAGATGCTCTACTATAGTTGTTTATCAAATTACAATTGATGTATTGAGTACTATTTTATCAAAGAAAATAGTTTGTTATTGTGTCAAATTACATATTACAATGAAATCATGCCAGAAGTCAAAGTCAAATATATTTTTGATTTGAAAGTATCCAATAACCAATTGATAAGATTTGGTCAAGCAAAGATGTTTGGGCAGGATTTAAAACTTAACACCAGCAGTCTAAATGAACCTGTTTTTAAGTGTTGCTTGTACAGTTTCATTAATCATTTATTCTACTATAAAATAAAATAGATGGGTTATGTTTGGACCAGAAAAATTATGCTGATGCAGTTGAATTCTTCTGAAATTGATTTTTCATTTTAATCCTGATTTTCAATGTTCTATGGGAAACAATTTGTAATATTTTACAATATACATAGCTTCAATAGAAACATATTTGTTGTATGGTATTTGAAATTAACAAACAAATGTCTGATCTGAAATACAATTTTTATCAATCCACGTAGTTTAGTTTTTAACCGAATAATTGGCAAATTTTACACCCATTACCAATAGGGCTAATGTGTTATGCATTGAGTCGCTTGACATCATTGCCTTGGTAAAATTAAAAAGTAGAGGTAGGTTTTAATTGACTGGAATGGCCCAGGTAATATAGAGCTTTTCTTGTGTTGCAAAGACATGTTACAGCTAGTGAACCTTCTCAAGTGCAGTAATTTTGGTATGCCTGGAAATTTCAATGGGATATAAAACATCTCTTGCCAACCATTAAAATTTACTTTCACCAATAATAAATACATATAAAGGTAATAAATGCAGGTGTAAATTATCAACAAGTTTAAGGGACAGATGCATCATTTTGGGTTTGATTTTAGTCTTGAATATATGCAAATAGTCTTCAGAAGTACTAGAAATGTATGAAAATCGCATAATTCTTTTAAAAATTCTTCTAATTAGGAATTTTACTCACTAATTCTACACATCTGTTCTATATTGTATCAAGAAATGGTGCACCTGTCCTTTAAATTAATATCTGTCGAAAACATCAGTAACTAGCACTTTTATCTATTCTAGTTGAGAAAATTGAATTTGTTTGAAAATATGGCACGCTATGTTACAATGATGGTATATCAATATTACCAATGTTCATGTATGCAGTTAAAATTTAATAACTTAATTTAGGTAGAGATAATATAATTTTTGCATCAAAATATTTTGAAAAATGTTTGACTGGTAATAGGCACTAGGCCACTGCTTCAAAGAAATTCCTAGTACTGAAACACACAGGTCCCAGTACTTTTGTCCTTAAACATTTGTGACAACTGTGTATAGGAGCAATGGCATCGAAAATATACATCAATTACTCTTCCTGATATATCCAATATCTATATAAAACACCTCTATAAAATAACTGGAGTTTATTAAACTAGAGCTAAAATATCTTTAGCTGCACTACAAGATAAGCCTGTGCCATCAGGTTCTAATTGTAAGGCTTCTACCACTCCATCTTTAACAACCATAGCATATCTACAATAAAACAAAATCACTAAAGATATTATAGTTGACCCAAAGGCCTTTAGGCCTTTGACCTAATCTGATACACATCACGTCTCAATGCCAGTGCTGGGTAGAAATTGGATTGGTTAAAGCAGACATCATCTTGTTAGGCCAAAAGGTTATTTTGGTGCACGTTCAAGAGGGCTGTTGTTGGACCCTAAATGAAGTGGTTATATTAAAAATAAAAGCTAAAAAAAAAAAACAACGAAAATTTGAATTTGAATTATATATTTGAATAATTTTTTTAGGAATTAATCTATGACTACAGAAGAAAACGAAATAAAGGGTACCTTTTAGAGCGAAGAGTTCCAAGGACTGCTGATAAATCAACAGTAAGGTCAACTTGCTGAAATATAGAAAAATATTAATGAAGGAAATCATGCTATTACAGTTACCTTTGAGATCTAATATTTCCTAATCTTTCTTTACGATCAACTGTTAATTCGACATTCTGAAAAGTGCCAAATCATAGGTGGATTAGTGTAAACTATATTCAGAAATCCAAGTCAATCAGATAAATAAATATTATATTTCGTTTGCTTCTTATTTGCCAAATAAATATTTTTGTCAACAAGCTCAAATTTAGTTCCCACATTTCAAATTCAAGATATCCAAAGTTTTGGAGAAGGAGCACATTATGGTAACTATCTTAAGTGAACAAACATACAAAAAATTGGTATTTTATTGATGAACAATAGAAAAATACCTTTGAAAATTCAGCACATGTATCAGCTAGCATCCTAACCTACAAAACAGAAAATCAATATTAAAAACTTAATTAATCAAATAAATCAGGAAATGGGCTGAGAGTGGAAAAGTTCTAATCTGATATTTGCTGATTGTTAACAGATAGTGATAGATATTTGATAGTTATCTACTTGTGAAGGCTCAGAGACATTGGGCATTGTTTATTTAGGATTCATGCTGACCTATAGATGAGGCGATATTATACATTGTCTATTTCCAGAAAATGTGTACTTATTCATGCTATGCATTCTATTTGTTCAAATTCTTCCAAATCATTTTGACAAGTTAAAATATTGAAATACCTTTCCATCTGCATTAGCACTTTTCCCCCAAGCTGCCATTACAAAAGGATCATTGACAGAAATGCATGCCACACGATCGACTCCTTTAGCTTTTAACTCATCTACTTTATTTACAAATCCTGGTAGATGATCCTGAAAGAACACAAATAATTACATGTAGAAATTTAACACGTTAAGTGGAAAAGATAGGATAGGCAACTGAAATGTAATGCATCATCAATTAGGCCTAAGTAAGAGTTGACAAACCCATGTAAGAGTGGTATCAGGTGTTCTAAAATGGTAATCACAGTGCTTGTGATGTTGAAACTCACAGAACATGTTCCCTACCTTGCTACATGTTGGTGTAAAAGCCCCAGGCACAGCAAATATGACACTTTTACCCTTTCCAAACAGTTCACTGGTGTTTACTTTGGTTCCTGGATCATTTTCAAACAAATCTACCGCTGGTAGTTTATCTCCAACCTAAAATTATAAGTACATGTATTATAATTATGTATATTTATCACAAACAATGAGACATATAGATTATAGATCACAGGTAGATGTGGATGAGATAGCCTTTGGTGAGGCATTTGAAATTTTGCTGGTCAACTGATAATGTATAAAAAACCAATTGCTTCACCAAAGGCTATCCTGTCCACAAGTACCTGTGTTATAAAGTTATAGATATAGATCCATAAGATTACTCTTCTTAGGCCTAGGCCTACTGATCAACTTTGTGACTTTTGACAATCATCTGACACGATGGACAATAAGAATACCAGGTCTTATAAATCTACCTCCAAATATAGGATAAGTATGCCAATGCTTTCTTGTGTAATATCATAAGGATAGGGGCCCTACTGGTTATAACTCATTTTTTCATTATCCTTTCCTTTGACATTGACGTTTGTAACTGAAACTGTATGCTATTTGTGTTTCATCAAACAAAATGAAATCTGCCTATTGTCAAGGTTAATAAGAAACTTTACCTTGATTGGCATCTCTAGATTAGCTGTTGTAGATATGCAACGTGCTTTGCTGACAAAGACAAAAGGAGTTTTATTGAATTTTGTTGATAACAATCTCTTCACAGCCTGCATTGTAACCGAATCAAAGGTGATTGATAAATAATGGTCTACAAATCTGAAACAAACACTGGACAAATTATTCAAATTAACCAAAACAAGTTTAAAGCGTTAAATTAGAATTTGTTTAGCTCTGCCATATAGGATTTGTGGATATTTTGATACATGATTCAGGGTTTATTGAATGTTATAGAAGATGGATGGTCATCCACGATTAGTTACGTAGTGTAAAGAGTACTCCAATCAACACCCACACCGCGGCGCTTTCCACACCAAAGGCATTTGTTAAAGTAGCATATTCAGCTGTCCTACATTTTTTTTAGAAAAGACAACAGCTATAATGTTTGCATAATTTTTAAGGTGAAATGTTATGAATGAAATTACATCCAAAGAAATCTGCATCTGATTGAGCTAATGCAGACGAGAAACTGTCCAAAGCATGAACAGTACTATGCTGAAATGAAAATGAAAATGAGAGCCGACTATATATTTTAAGTCATCTGCTGTTACAGTAAAATTAATTTTGAACCGATTGGAAATACTGTGTTTCATAAATTTGCATTTTATCCTAATCGATTTTATGAGAATATGATATCTGTAAAGAACTTGCTAAAATTTGAAATGATCTAATGCTCGGGCTAATATGCACAAATAGAATTTACTTTATTGTGTGGAATTTGATGTCATGATATTACAGTCCTATGATGTCATGGAAGTTTTCAGATATATTTCATCCAATGTTCTTGCGATTACCACTTTACCTGAACGAATGCCTGTGATGAACTATAGTGGTACAGGAAGTTGTATCTTAGATATTCAATGCGCATGCGCATACTAATGGCGGAATCTTTAAGTGAAAATAAAATTTGAAACTGAAAGGTCTACTTTGTTTACTTTAGATTTATGGTAAATTAAATTGTGGTCATTGCTTACTGAATGTCTAGTTCCAGGTTATGATATTTTACAAGATCTGTGTAACTGACAAGTCAAGTCATCTCGAAGCGTATTATTTTCCTTCTGTTGACGTTCTGTCAACCTGTTAATTAAACTCACGACTGTCAGGCCACAGAGCATGGGAATGCCAATCACAATGTGGGCTGATCTGAACAAAATCTAGTTCTGTCACCCACTACTGTAATCTCGAACCTGTGACTGTCTTGTCAATTGTCACAGTCACCACAATGTCTGACATTTCAAAATCAAAGTCAATAAATAATTTTAGAATTAGACTTGGCTGTCAGTGCAAGAGGTAAAATGAGTACCATATATTTAAAATTATCACAATAATCTGTAATCATGCAGTAATTTGTGCCTCCTCACTGTCAGTCGTCTTTGTATTGTGGGTACTATGCCATGTCTCTGATAATAATGATAATCAATTTGTGTAACTTCATTATTATGCTTTCTTCTTACAATCTTAAATTATTAATTTATTACCTTTTTAGACTGTGGCACGGAAAAATGGAGAATAAAAGTGAAAATGATCACAGTCATGGACATAGCAGGTAAATGAATAAGATATATGTAATATATGAAGTTAATTTGCAGTACGGTACTAGTACTGTACAGAAAAATTGCAATCCTGATGTAGTATAGTCAACTTTTATACTAGCACTGGTAGAGTTTATATCATCTTTAAACCGTGAAGTATCTGTAGTAAAGCAAAAGACTCATCTAGTTCTTGAAATAATAATAATCTGTATGATTTCAGGAAAAGAGATGGCAGAAGATCTTCAGGGGTAAGTTTAGAAAGGGCAACGTATGTGATCTATCTGATAGTTCTAAGATTTGTGATAATAACTTCTTGTGATGTTTGAGATAAACTTACTTATTGTAATATGCTAACACTAAAAATTGTTTTATTGGCTACATAGATACATACATAAGCTTATACCTGACTGAGTGACTGGTAACATCACAGAACATATTACCTGAAGTTCAGGCTATAAGCTTATAACTTTCAATTCATTTACATATCAGTTACTTGATTCTCTTCATAGCTATTTTATTTTCTGTTTTCTTTTTAGATATTGAAGATGAAAAGACCTTGTTTAGCTGAAATCCCAACAGATCAAGTTATAGAACAAGTGCCGGTAAATTCCTTACATTTCTTAAAGCTTTAGGCATGCCTCTGAATCACCAGATTTTGAATAGCAGTTGTTATCAATAACTTATGTTTTATATAGAAAGAAAATGAATTTTTAAATTGTTGATTCTGAAGTTTCACAAATTTCTTAACATGAAATATTTAAGAATCTTCAAAACATTTATTATTTTGGGCAAAAAAAAAAAAAAGACAATTTGAATTACACCCAGTTATACTGGTGCTAATCTGTATGTTGTTATCAGGGAAATAGGCTTTCAGATCTAAAATTAGTATGTTTCCTGATTGATTTTGTTAAATCTAGAAAGAGGAAACAGTAGATTGTAAAAGATTATCAAGAAGAGTGAGTTTTGCAGAAAGATGTATTGTCAAGTAAGCATTTTTTCCTTTACTAAGAACTGTGATGGGTAAACATTTGATAAAAAGGTCTGAGATGGAAAGAATCTTTATTTGGCATTTTACAAGAGAATACAATGTGAATGAACACAGAATAAGCATGTTGGTTAAATGGTCCTCCAACAAAATAAGTTTTGTTTGCAAGGCAGTGTGAACATGACATCTTAATGGAATACAACTGACATCACCTAATGATTAATTTTTTGTTCAAAGCAACTTGTTTTAGTATTTGATTTTAAAATTGAATTTAACTCATTGGTAATGGTGAGATATCTATTTCAGAGAATTTCCCAAAGATTCTCCAAGAATATGGGACCAAAGCCCAGATGGAAATTCAAATAAAGGTAAGTCTAAAATAAATATTAGAAATATAGACATGACTTATGTTGTGATTAATGTTTGAAATTTTCAGAAAGGCATAGATCGTTATGAAGCTTAGTATTGAGCAAGTTTGATAATGATATTTGCACCAGACTTTTGTGGTATTGCTGTGGTATAATAATAATAAACTCTTTTTTGGACAAGAGTCCAATCTTCTTCACTATTAATACCCAGGTGACATGATCCTGTCTAACATTCAGTCCCTGGGATCAATATCTTTATGTGGATATGTTATAACAATCTGGAAATGACAACAATCTTAATTTACAAGACACATCTTTGATGAGTTTGATTTTAAGCAGTGCAATGGATATCTGAAATTAAGTTCTATTATCTAGTAAAGCCACTTTATCCACCTTTTAATAATTTTTGTTTACTATCAATTAACTTTTTTTTTTCAGATGATTCAGATGAAACTTTGTAAGTAATATTACATTTCGGGGAAGGGAGGGTTTGATTTAAACTGACCTTGAGTCATTAATATTCTATTATATATGTGTATGACATTCAGGGATCCCAAAATATCTCTTGTTTGTTAGATAAATTCCTATATTCCTATTTTCGGCTTTAAGTGGTATTTTTTTTATTTCCATATAAAACCTACCTCATCTAATTGCTTGCTTTGGCTAGAGAATTTCTATATAGGAAATTTCTTCGAAAGTATCTTAAAATGATTCTCTTCAGCCTCAGGATGCAATGCCCATTGTAATGTACCCAACATGGAAACCTGAGGCCCACTTTCCACTGGCTGATGTTTTCCTCTATTTTTACATTCCTCACTGGGATCATTTGACATTGTTTTCCTAATTCCTAACTCTTTGATTTTAATTTTAATGATAAAAATAAAACTTTTTAAATGAAATATACTGATAAAAGGAATAAGCAATCATTCCTTTCAATATTATTTATTTAGTTTTTGTTGGTATTTTCAGGACTGAGGACATATCTGGCAATATATCAGGTAACTACTAAATATTAATCCATCCAAATAGATTCTTGTTTATCTAAAATAAACATTTATAGTTCTTCCTTCTGACAATCTCCTGTATTGATCTACAATCTTGTTGAAATGATCTAGTGATAGTAGAAAGACATTCAATTTCAGTGGCATACACATAAAAGCTTTAGAAAACCTCTTTAAGAAATTTTGGCAATTGGGCAAGTGCTTATTTGGACCCTTTATATGGTGGTTTTTAAATGTTGGCTTCTTTAAAGTAAACAATTCTTGTAAACTGAACTAGGTCTCATATATACTTCCAAAACAGTCGATGGGTTTTTAAAATGAGATTGGTGCAATATCTTCAATCTTGGAGAAATTCTGTACTAGCCATTATCTTATCACTCTTTCTTTGATAATTTATAGGGTTAGATTCATTATTAAATGGTGAAATACAAAGTAAAGAAAATAAAAAGGTTGGTGTTTTTTGTATTATATTTTATTATAGAATGATAAGAGTATATTGAACAGTAATAGACTAGCTCATATAGTTGATATGATATAATATTATATTTTATTATAGAATGATAAGAGTATATTAAACAGTACTAGACTAGATATGGTTGATATGATATAATATTATATTTTATTATAGAATGATAAGAGTATTAAACAGTACTAGACTAGCTCATATAGTTGATATGATATAATGTTATATTTTATTATAGAATGATAAGAGTATATTAAACAGTATTAGACTAGATATGGTTGATATGATGTAATGTTATATTTTATTGTAGAATGATAAGAGTATATTAAACAGTACTAGACTAGATATGGTTGATATGATGTAATATTATATTTTATTATAGAATGATAAGAGTATATTAAACAGTATTAGACTAGATATGGTTGATATGATATAATATTATATTTTATTGTAGAATGATAAGAGTATATTAAACAGTACTAGACTAGATATGGTTGATATGATATAATATTATATTTTATTATAGAATGATAAGAGTATATTAAACAGTACTAGACTAGAGATATGGTTGATATGATGTAATGTTATATTTTATTATAGAATGATAAGAGTATATTAAACAGTACTAGACTAGATATGGTTGATATGATATAATATTATATTTTATTATAGAATGATAAGAGTATATTAAACAGTACTAGACTAGATATGGTTGATATGATGTAATATTATATTTCATTATAGAATGATAAGAGTATATTAAACAGTACTAGACTAGATATGGTTGATATGATATAATATTATATTTTATTATAGAATGATAAGAGTATATTAAACAGTACTAGACTAGATATGGTTGATATGATATAATATTATATTTTATTGTAGAATGATAAGAGTATATTAAACAGTACTATACTAGATATGGTTGATATGATATAATATTATATTTTATTATAGAATGATAAGAGTATATTAAACAGTACTAGACTAGCTCATATAGTTGATATGTTATAATATTATATTTTATTGTAGAATGATAAGAGTATATTAAACAGTACTAGACTAGATATGGTTGATATGATATAATATTATATTTTATTATAGAATGATAAGAGTATATTAAACAGTACTAGACTAGCTCATATAGTTGATATGTTATAATATTATATTTTATTGTAGAATGATAAGAGTATATTAAACAGTACTAGACTAGATATGGTTGATATGGAAATGACATCTTGTTATGAGGGAGATGTATCAATACATCAAACATCAATGGTTGCTCAAAAACTGTCTCCAACTGCCTCAGCTTTATCTTTTATCACTACATTAAATCCAACTCCCACGTATGTATTTATTATCTAAGCCCAGCCCAAGTCTGGATAGATATTTATTTCTGCTGTGTAACATATTTCACTATGTTTCAATGTGAGAAAAATTCAGGCTAGTGTGCTTAAGATTTTGCTAGATCTCCTCAACACTTGGAAACAAATTAAAATTGCATGCTGCCGTTTACAAATTTTGCTAATTTCAATTCTTTCAATTGTGTTTAGTAATTAGCAAAAGTTATAGTTATATGAATGTTGCCTAAGATAGTAATTATTTTGTATAAAGTAATATCTTAATAATAGTTGTTTTTCTGACCAATAAGATGCAAATCAGTCAAATAGCTGTATGTGTCTAATATTGCTCTTCCTTCTCTTGCTTATTTGGTATTGTTATTTACAAACATTCTCATTTCTTGCAGTGAACTAGTTCAGGATGAAAAACCCCGTGTAAAATCAACAGGTCCAGTTTTAAATTTTGAAACAGGTGTGATTCTTCTAAGTTATCTACTTAATATTAATGAGATATTTTAGGGCTAAGTGGATATCACGATACTAAGCATTAATATATCACAATATGGGTATATATTGCAAAAAAATTTTTAGTATGGGATTTTGACACCAAAAAAAATTTGAATGTAAGAAAAATCAATAAATATCTCTAAAAAAAAAAAAAAACCACCCCTGACTTTAATATGAAGAAAAAAACATTAAGTTACTTGTTAAAATTGCATAGAAGATTTTATCTGGACAAAAATTTGACGATATATCATGATAACTACCATATATCACAATATGCTGATATTTCAGTATCTTTAATCAGGTACTATTGATATAAATTCTTATGCTGTGAAATTGCAAGAACCACAGATGTCTGGTGCAAATTGATTCTATCAGTGTTCCTGATACACAATTTTTTTTAGAAAACTTCTTTACAATCCCTCTAAGTTAAGCATTCATCTAAGCTCAATTCCAGACCTGTATCAATGACAATATAGTTGGATTTATATTTTTGAAATTCACCTCTGAAAATATTTTCATTTTTTCAGATGCTGACAATGGAGAATTTACAATGGATTTAACCAGTTGTTTGGATTATACGAAATCTCTGTGTGATAGGGAGAATATTATGGAAACAACAGAAGTTGTGACAGCAACTACAATGACCAAACGGCAAAGCTTAGGTGATATCACAAGAAGATTTTCGTCTGGACCCATGGCTGAAATGGAACTGACCGCTTGTGTTGCCTCTGATCAAACAGTAGCTGAAATAGAGGAGAATTCTGCAGCTGAGCAGGCTGATCTGGAGCTCCAACAGAGTATTTATCAGAAAGGTACCAGTCCTGTTAAAGCTCAGAAAACACCAATTGGCATATCAAAGGAAAAATTTCACTTTGATGACAAAGAAAATGTTGGGAGTCGTCCTAACTTTGACTTTTCTTTACATCAGAACTTTGATGATGATGATGATGACAAAGATATGGACATTACTTTCAAGGACACAACTCAGCAGTTGTTGGGAGCTAATATTGAGAACATGGTTGTTCAAACCAAAACTCCAAAATCTGAAAAAGACACAAAAGATTCAGAGAGAGAAAATATCATCCAACTTCATCCTCAGACTTCCCTCAGCAGCATTCAGCCTCAGACTTCTCAAGCCAAGAGAAGGTCAACCAGTTTGAGTGCTGAGGAATCAAAAGAAAATGATGCTGATCTCTCAAAAAGTCAATCCTCAGTAGCTGACAAAGGAATTGTTTCCAGATGTCCTCAGTTTGACTTTTCCTTACATCAGGGTTTGGATGATGAGCTTGAATTCTCTTTCAAAGATTCAACTCAACAATTATTAGGAGCAAATGTCAGGACTTCCATTGACATGAAAGAGCAACTACCTCCAAAGGAAGAGATTAATGGGCAAGTTCCTCAGAAAGAAGCTACAATTATAGAAAAAAATCATCAGAAGGAAGCTACCACGGAGAAAATTTCACAGAAAGAAGCTACAATAGAGAACATTCCTCAGAAGGAAGCTACCATAGAGATGAATCCTCCTAAGAAAGAAGCTACAATGGAGAAAATTCCTCAGAAGCAGCAAGTTCTTAAGAAAGAAGGGAAGGTGGAGACTTCAAAATTGAAGTCCAACAGGCTACCAAGTCTTTCAAAAGAAAAAGAGGCCGACATTAGTGGCATTGATTTCTTGGAACAAAGTCAAAGCCCTAGTATCGATTCAGGAGAAATTTTCAAACAAAATGAAAACAAAACAGAGATTAATAAACCTGCACCAAATGTTACCTTTTCATCAAGGAAAACATCCTCATCTAAAGCTCCAGGTGCTTATTTAAGTGGTATGGATCTGCTCGATGACTCACTAAGTCTGAGCAAAGTTTTGGGCACTCATGATTCAGTCCTTGAAAAATCTCAAACAAGCAAATTGAATGAAGTTCGACAACCTTATTCACCAAATCGTTCAGAAAACGCAGATTTGAAAAGAAGACTTCACAACTTAGACTTGACTCAAGTAGAAGTTGACACCAGAATGAAACTACATCGAAAAGACTCAGAAAAAGAGGCTCCTGTTGTTGCTCAAAATGAAAAAGAATTGCAAGGACCCGTTTTGAATTTTTTGAATACCAGTTCTGCAACAGACCAATCCATTCTGAGTCAGTCATTTATGTCTTCCATAAAAAATAAAACTGTTGATGAAACCACGCTGAACGAATTGCCATCAGTGCAAAACATGAAGATTCCTTCTTTAACTGTTCTGGATAAATCTCTCTCCAAAGATGTGAAAGATTCAGAGCAAGAAAAATCCTTACAAAATAGAGGTTGTGCTGATCTTGCTAAGGTGAACCAGACACTACCAAATAAGGAAGTATCTATGTCACATGATAGTTCACCTTCTGCTTCTGTAGAGCAGACTGTCTCACTAAATGACAACAGAGGAGATAAATCAATGGCCATTGAAGACAAATCACAGATTGGAGCTTCCTTGATGTTTAAAGGTAGGTAAAGATAGAGGATTAAGTAGTCTATGCAACTTGTTTGATTCTCTACAAGTTATAAGTTATGGAGTAACATTGGGGGAGGGGAAATTCATTTAAAGAAACCTTATTGTTACCAGTTCACTATTGCTCCACTACTGATTAACAAAGTCAGTGTCTCTTCTCAGGGAAAATTACTGTTTTTTGAAAGCAGCTCAATATAAGCTTGTATATAATTTTTCTTATGTAGAAAATGATTTGAATATTAGTGATGAACCAATGCCCTGTGAAATGACAAAGAATGAGATACCAACTACTACCTTTACCTTACCAGATATTGGTAATAAATCTTGTACTGATCAGAATATTACTACTGGTACCAACAGCTCAAATAATAGCTCCAGGACTAACTCATCAATATTCAATACCACCAATACCTCAACTAAGGTAACCAATAAGTCTTAATCAGTAATGATGATCAACTATGACTTCATCAGCAATGATGATATAAGCTTACTATGGACCCGTAAGCAATGATGAAAAATTAATAGACTTCATCAGCAGCTCAATGATGATATACTATGGACAAAGAAGCAATGATGATATACTATGGACACATCCACTATGATAATATAGTATGTTTATATGCTTTAAACCATTAGCTCATCTACAAAGATGATAACCTCCTAATGTAATGTAGACTGTTATCTAATGATAATGGTGTTTATTGCAGCCCAATGAACCCTGGACATATGACATGTTTTGTGAAAAGATGTCTATATATACAGTAGATAAAGGTTCTACTAGACGAGCTAGTATAGTATTGAAAGAGAAAGTTGATATGGAAAGTTTCCAGGAGGTATTAGAGGCCAGATTAACAATGGTACCTCAATGTCAACTATTAGATTCTACCATTAAAACTATAGAGGAACAACAGAGCAAGTAAGCTTAACACTTCATTGAAAAAGCATATAAATATAGAGAAAGATTCTTGCAGCTTAGCTTATCACACATGTGTCTTGGGAACACAACAAGGTCACATAGGTTGCTGTATGAGAGCATGGAAATCATAGTCTTTGATCACTCTATACCAAATGTTAATAAGACTATATACATTATAAAGATTAACTCCATCACCGTTTTGTTTTGACAGAGAAACTGATATTGTTGATAGATATAAAGAAGAAGTTGATACAAATGAACCTGATCTATTTAAAACTGTTAGAGAAGGTTTAGAGGTAAATATAAAATATAGTCCATTTAATTGTACTGACTAGATTTCTTGAGTATTTAACAAATTTATATGGATTCAGAAATAGGATCATTTATTGCCCACAAATTTTCTTCAATGTAGCTTCTCTTCTGCTCCTTTAATCTCATAATGTCAGCAGGTCTTCAAATCCATGTGTGTCCAGAATTATCCGCATTCGAAAGTTAAAAAGACGAGTCATCTTTTCTTAAGACACTGTCGTATAGAAAAGACATCTATGAAAATAGGAAAAGAAATTCCTAGTTTGAGATATTTTTGAAGGAATTATGCAATGTTTTTCCAGTACTTCTCTTCTGAAGACTATTTTCATATCTTCAAGACTCGAATCAACCCCCTAAAATGTTGCATCTGTCCCTGTAAGTAAAAACTGTTCCAATGATCATGGCAATGGCAATATGATTATAATGATATGAAAATTTCAATTTTTTAAGTCTTTTCTGTATCATTCAAATGAATTTCATAATTTAATCTCTACAGACAAGTGATATACGAAAAGAAGTTTTAAGAATGACAAGAGCTTGTAAGCAGTTAGCCAAACAACAATGGAAGAATTTAAAGATTCAGACCACAAAGATTTATCATGAGCAAATAAAGAAAGAAAGTGTAGAATTAGAAAATGGGGTGAAGGTCATTTTAGATCATGCTGCTGATATCACCCAACAATGTCTACATCTTGATAAAGGTATTGTCTTTTCTTATATAGAATATTGGGCATTTTGAGATATTTTCTTATCGTCTCTAGTTGTACTGGTCATGGATGTTCTACATTCAGCAAGGAAACAAAGACACCAACTAGACATATAGTGACTTTAGAAGGGTTATCTTGTGAAAGGTGTTCTAAAAATTAACTGCAAGATACTTTTAATTAAAACTTTTAGATAAGTAACAAAGAAAATTTTTTGTTATTAATTTTGGTTTATAGTTTTCATTAATTTGCGCATCTAACCTTCCCAATCTACCTAAGATATCAGATTCCCCCTTTAACAGCTGTAGAATCTCTTTTGCTGCGACATCTGAAATTAAGTGAAAATATAAAATAATTTGTGATTTATTTTAGCTTGTACAGATATAGATGAAGCAATTGAAAGATTACAAAATACAACACAAGCTGTAGAAGAAAATAACAGTCAAAATAAACAAGACCTAGATCAGTTACAATCAGGTAAATTTATGTGTTCTTTCTTAAAGAGACAAGTTTGCCATTTTTTTGACCAATCATACCTTAGTTTCAGGACCAATTTTTTTTATCTAAGCTAATCAGTAATGGTATTCCAGACTCGCTGTCGTAATGTGAGCCTTCAAATCCCTGTGTGTCCAGAATTATCTGCGTTTGAAAGTTAAAAGGACCTCTTGTCTTTTCTTGAAACTTTACCATATTAATTATGTAGAAAAGATATTTAAGAAATAGAAAGTGAAATTCCTAGTTAGAGGTATTTTTGAAGGAATTGTGCAATTGTAAGACATTTAGAAGTATCACAATTTTTATGGATATAGACTTGTATTTATTATTGAACATAATAAATAGAAGTCTATATCCATAAAAACTGTTGTTTCTTAATGTATGAAGACTATTTACATATTTTCAAGACCCAAATTAACTTCCCAAAATGGCAAATCTGTCTCTTTAATAATCCATATTAAGCAATACCATGAACAATTTGTCCTGTCTTGTAAGAAAAGTATTTGTTCTTCCTGGAAATGATAAATGGTGCCAATTGATCTTTGAAGTAAACAGACAATTAATCCACCTATTAGACTGGATATTGATTCTAAATCTGATTTGGGTTCTCTTGAATTAATTGTGACAAACTAATTGGGCAAAATTCAACTTTGATTTGTAAATTTTAGCTTTAGAAGAAAAAAATAAATATTTGAAAGATATGGAAATGTAAGTACATACTCTAATATTTTATATTGAATATGCTTTCTTAAAATGATATTCAGTAGATAATTACAATGGGGAAACTTAATGCTATCAGTGTCCCCTATACACATAAAAAATTTAGAAAACCCCTTTACAATACCTGAAGTAATTTGTATTTTCTTAATTAGATATTCTATGTTCTAGTTAACAGTGCAAAGTGCTAGTGCATGCGATAATTATAATATTTGCACATAATTCTACAAAAAAATACTTGTTTCATCTGATAAATATAAAATTTTACCTTAAGCTTATTTACAATGGGATATTGATTTAATATCCCATGGTTCCAGTTTTTTTTAAAATATCCCTCTCAGACACTTTAACTCAACAAGTTTTTTCACTTTGTTTTAGAGCTGTGGTAGAGAGAGAAAAAGAACTACAAGAAATAGAAGCTAAAAGTATCAAATTAGAGAACACTAGACATCAACAACCAGATATTACTATTGATGTATCATCTAAAGAATCAGAACTTAAAGAACTAAAGAAAAAATTAGAATACTTCAAATTGTATGTTGAATTTTTTTCTTTCTGGTACATATCATATTATCATGAAATTCGTCTTGCAGCTTGACTGCAATAGCCACATTTCTTGTATCTTGGAAATGTAAACATTATGGCTTGATAGCTTGCTCTGATTGGCACTATAGATTGATTAGTTGTTTGTTAATTATAACAAAAGCTGATCACTGCACCATATAAATCTGAATTCATCTAAGAAAACATTCGGAATGGGCAGTATGATGCCAAACGTGTTCAATTCAAGGTTTTCAAAGTTCAAAGAAGGAAAATTTTAAAATAAAAACCTATTCAGGACAACTAAATTTACAATTTCGAAAATTGAGGCTTGAGCACAGTAAACTAGCTCATTGATTCTGGAATATTACGGATTTTAATTACAGAATACATGAATGGAGTGTTGATTTTGACAGTATAACAGAAAATGGTGGAACATTTTTATTTTTAAATAAAACTATATCATTAAATGTACATTATAAAATATTTGAAAATAATCAACACCAAATACGAGGGGTTCAACTAGAATCTAGATTGTCAGGTATAGTGATAATTATATATTAAGATACACTGTAATCATTCTTCTGTTAATGATGCTGAAGTCTCCCATTGATACTGTGAATTATTTAGCAGTTGGCATTATTGAAAACCTACAAAGGAGATTAATTTATTGCTCTCTATCTTTCTTGGCGAAATTGTTTTGAGAAACCCTGGATTAGCAAGTTACAAGGTTTATGCCTGTTTGTTCTATTGAATGTTGAGATGGCACTAAGTTTCTCATGTTGCCATTGCTGCAGGCTGGAGATTTTGGCTTTGAAATAGTGTCAAGTGATTTAAGGGCACATGAAACCCAAGTATGATGTACTTCATTTAAAGATTTATTGAAATCCAAAGACAAACAATATGGGGGAGATATGTACTACAAATAAATTTCTGAAATATAAAATATGATATTGTTAATCTTTTTTTCAGAAGATCATGAACCTTGGTTTAATTTAGGTCATTGTTTAGCAATGGAGCAACTTAATTCTTTACACCTTAATACCAAATATTTAGGGCAGAACAGCTTAAGTAAGGTAAGATGTGTAACTATTTCTAGAGACAGTAGTATAAAGTCCTTAATTTTTAGCCTGGATCTATGTCCTATCAATGTTTCAAACATGAATCTAAGATGTATCAGCTCCAAGTCCAAAGTTTGTCCTGCGAAAACATCTGATATAGTCTGAAACAAGTTTTTTTTTATATTATATTAACAGTTATTACAAGAAGTATCTCAAGTAATCTATAAAATAAGAAGATTAATAAAAGATCTTGATAATCTGGACTATAGACATCATATTACTATTCAAAATAATATGTAAGTATATGTATCTTGACACTGTTGAGCCCACTGCAAACTTGTCTGATTTGCCCCTTGACTGGAAGTAGACAGACTAGTCCATTGAAAGCTATCATCTGGTGTCCAATAGTCTCTGCAAATTTGGATCTGTGCTGAGTCTCTGTGGTTTGCTTTGATGATTCTGTTACCCTCAGGAGCTGTCAGTTCTGGTGGTGATCTTGATCTTGCATGCTTAATAATAATCCTTGGTGTTTTTTTTTTAAATTGTTCAATACATGTACCGTCTGGAATTAAAATGTGGAAGTCATTATCAAATGTCCCTTACTCTGTCATGCTTCTTTTGTTAGTTCAGTAAATATCTTTATCGATACTAATACTGATGCTCAGAACAGAACAGCTTCACATTATATTTCAATGTGTTTTGTTGTATGAAATTTATATGTGATATTTACTGTTATTTTAGAGTAAGATTTAATGTTTTAAATGTTGAGACAGTAAAGAAAGTGAAAGTTTTTGTAACATTTGATAGTAAAGATATCTTGTTACCTACTATAGATATTAAACCTATGGTTGGAAACATCAAGTAAGTTTTGCAAGTCATTTAATGATTTTTGGGTCTCAGATTTTACTTAGCTTGAAAATATATAAAGTAATTAGTATTACTTATTTACAATAACTCAAGATTTGTGAAAAAATTTTGGCAAAGCTTTATAGATGGATTTTCAATTTGCAAATAGGATAATTTTGGTTTTATTTTAAGGGTACAAATTAATAAGGATTTTAAATAAGGATTTTATTTAAGGATTTTGGAAACAAGCCAAAGGTTATGATGAGATTTGGAAAGATTTACAAAAGGCTATTAAAAAATCTTTGAGATGAAACATAGGAGTTCATAACAGAGAAAGCGAAATTTTTCTGGAAGCGTAACTTGTTTTGCCAGTGAATCTGCTAATTAAAGTCTTGTCTAACAGTAATTTTGGAACTTTTCTTTCATTATTTTTTTCAGTCTAGATAGTTTGAAAGAAGATCTAAAGACATGTAAAGGACAGGACTTCTTAAAGAAGCTACTCTCAATTGTTGAACCTTTTCTAACTCATTGAAGAGTGAATGGATTCTTTAACTAATGAATTTGTTAATTTCAATATTCTTATGATGCTAATCTGTTAATGTATCAAGGCCCAATGACTCTATCTAAATTTTGCTATCCCATTGTGAAACATGAAATTAAAAAATGGCAAAAACCCAAGCCTAGTTCTAAAGAATTTTGAAAAAACAACGTTTGGAAAGTTAAGTGGGATTGAGTGTAAAGAAGGTTCCTTCAAAAGCGGGGATTTGGTCTTGAAACTTTTTAAAACAGGAATATGGCTTTGAATGTCATTGAAAACAGAGATTAGACCTTGAAAACAGGATTATGGCCTTGAAAGTCCTTAAAACAGGACTATGATCTTAAAATTCCTTGAAATTAAAAATATGATCTTGAATTGGGACATGATGAAAAGTCCTTGAATTCAGGAATATGACCTTGAAATTGGGATATTATGTTGAAATGTCCTTAACACATGATGGCAAACAGTCTTTGAATTCTCCTTGAAAATGAAGAATGTGTGGTAAATAGTGATTTACTCAGCATCGAAAGCATTATTTATTTAGCTGTTAAAAGTAACAGATTTTTATTGCGTTGTTATTGTATCTAAATGTTATTTTGTTATTTTCTTTCATAATTATCATCATTTTTATATTTTTATAATAACATGTACATGTTCTACATTCTATTAGCCCAATTTCTACTCTACTCATTCGTCATGTCTTTTTATTAATAAATCCAACGTCTCACTTAAAGAGATATAGTTGTATAGCTACCCTTCTCACTTTTCAGTTTCAAGAAAACTGGAATACATGTAGATAATATTATTATAGAATTGTTATTTATATAAATGTTAATAAACCCTTAGTGCTAATATGCTCTGAAGTAGGGCCCAACAATAACAGCCATTTAAACAAAACTTTTCATGTCAATCTTTTTTTTCCTTTATCTATCTTGTGTAAATCATTTCAAATCATTTATCATACCTGAATAAAAATATACTGTCTTTATGAAATAGCCTTTTGATCATTCATTGGTTTAATCTCATAACTAGTTGGTCTAAAGTTATATCCTATCCTTTTAGCATACAACCTAGAATAATGCTTTGCCCCCATACTACCGAGGATCTATAAGTGACACCCTTTATATTTACGTCCAAAAATGACACTACAACTTCTTCTGCCAAGACTACTATTAGCAACAGGTCCATTATTGAGGATTATTAGCTGTTGAGTGTGAACTTAATCTTCTTAAAATCTCTACGTAACACATGTCAAAGTTTGGTATGAAAGTTTCCAGGTAATTGCATATCGAAACAATAATTGTTGAAAATTGCTCATTTAATTGCAATCTTATGTTTATAATGTTTAATAATGACCAATAATTGGGTCTGTCAGTTATAACTATATTGATTTTTTTTGATTAA